AAGACTCAATACCAAGATGCTTAGGACACGGTGCCAAGAGGGAGACTTTTGACACAACACATTGAAGATTAAGACACATCACTAAGAAGAGTATGACGTCATGTCAAGATGTATAAGACACAACACCAAGAGGCTTAAGACTAAACACCAAGAGGCTTAAGACACAACACAAAGAGGCTTAAGACCCAACAGCAAGAGGCTTAAGATACAACACACATGTCGAGAGGTTAAAACACAAAACCATACACCAAGACACCAAGAGGCTTAAAGTACAACACCAAAATGCTTAATACACAACACCAAGATGCTAAAGACTAAAACACCAAGATGCATAGAACATGCCAAGAGGCTTAAGACACAACACCAAGAGGTTTAAGACACAACACCAAGAGGCTTTAGACACAACACCAAGATGATTAAGACTTAAATACAAATAAGTTTCAGACACAATGTCAAGATACAGTAGAACTTCTTTGAGTCGAACTTCGATTAGTCGATTTTCTCGATGTGTCGAAGTAAAATGAAAGTCCCGATATTTTCCGTTATATATTCCTTATAAAAACCTATTTATGAGTCGAAATTTTATGTGTCGAATTTTTCGATGTGTCGAAGTTTTTTCTAGGTCCGTATAGAATAAATCTAGTACAATTTACCACAAATAAGTCAAAGTCCTTCGATTATTTTGACACCTTCGATCTCGAGACATTTTTCACACCTTTTCTGGCCGCGATGACGATTTCCGATCAACTTTAGTGACAGGTGTTAACTGCGCATCCAAGTATTCAAACAGCCTTTGTATGCGTTTAAATGTGTGAAAAAATGCTTAAATCGTTACTATTTTAATTGCCGTAGTGGTATTTGAAAGTTCATGTAAGAACTATCATCTGAGTGCTTCCGTGACCGGTGTCGCGTGATAATCACACGCGAAATATTCACTATAAGCTGGTTTAGTTATTGCCCTTTCATATCGTTAAGCCTTTTGTAACTTCATTGTTTACGTCAACAGGTAGTCCAAATCATTACCCGTAAAAAAGTTACTTAACATGTCATATTTATCATTCTATAATATAAAATATCAGATTAATGAATGAAAGAAAACATGAAATAGGTTACGTTATAGATCTTATAAATGGGGCTATTCACGGGTTGAAATTTTGTCATGAAATTCAGACCGAATTCATGAGTCGAAGTCTCGATGTGTCGAAGTTTTTACGCAAGTCCCTCCAACTTCGACTTACCGAAGTTCTACTGTATTTAAGACGAACACCAAGAGGCTAGACACAACACCATGAAGCTTAAGACACAACACCAAGAGGCTTAAGATAAAACACCAAAATGCTTAAGAAACAACACCATGAAGCTTAATACACAACACCAAGAGACTTAAGACAAAACACCAAAAAGCTTAACACACAAAACCAAGAGACTTAAGACACAACACCAAACGGCTTAAGGCACAAAACCAAGATGCTTCTGAACCAACATCAATAGACTTAAGTAAGAACAACAAGATGTATAAGACACAATACCAAGGCTTATAGCAGCACGCCTCCAGATTCATGTTAATTTTTATGAAAATTTTGGAATTGTTTTAAAACTAAAATATTGTGTCAGCAATAAAGCTTTTACATAGTGCAATCGGCACTAACAATCCAAGAAAATTACCAAAAGGCGGTCAAAATATGCAAAACCAGCCCTTACTGCGTTAGTAACGCAGTTGAAATATGGTGATAAATACAACAAAAGCAGTCTTAAACCGCATATAACATGTAAAATATCATTTGGATCTTGAAAGTTTTTACCTATCTTAAAATTTTAGTACATTTTTCTCAATAAATATGTTGACTCATCTGAAGGCGTGAAGCTTTAAAACACAAAACATAGACATGTCATTTTTGTGCCACCGTAGGTACACTATTTTAGGATGAAGAAGACATTAAAGTGTTTTTGAAAAAGTTTACTACTCTCTTGTGTCATATACTGAAATTGAAGGGACATGTGTATACCAAAATAATGAAGTCTGTGGAGAAATATTTACAAAACATGAAACTCGAACGTGTTATTCGCCTGACAGTGGGAAAATACAAAAGTTTACTCGAGGCGATTCTTGAAGGTTCTTACTCCAACAATGACGAAAGCGATGATAACAACGGGGATGATGATACAGATGATAAAGGCGACAGCAAAATGAGTGACACGGATACAGACGACGATGAAATGAACTAATAAATAAGCGCATTAATATAAGATATGAAAAATGACACTGTTTGAGCAGATTTATGTGTAAATAATATAGATTTGCATCCTGTATATTAAATGTTCAATATGTATATCTGAAGTTTCTTATATTATTTTAGCAGGCAATAGTTTGATGTAAATAAAGTGTATATAAAAATTATCAATGCCTGGCTTTATACTGTATGTACTAAAAGATGTTTCTGAGAAAGGCACTTTTATTTCAAAGGTAACCAAGGAAAATTAAGGTCAGAATTTTTTTTAAAACTTTGCCCTTGTTAAAAAACACATCTCCCAGATACAGTTTTAAGCGAAATTTTGAACTTCATTTTTACCTTTATATTGCTAAACAAGCTGTAGGATAATTAAAGCAATATGCTTTCAGAAGGGTAAGATAATCTTCAAACAAATTGTCACAAATTGCACCAGTCAGAAATGCTCAGTCTCATAAAAGTGAATATTTATATTAAAATCTCACAATTCATGACAACTAAAATATTGATACTCACATTTTCATATCTGACCTTTGACCTGACTGCTCGTGACCTTGACCTTAGTCAAAAGACCCTGCATTTGATTCACAATGTTGTACATTTATGCAAAGTTATCTAACAACCCATCAGTGTATATAGAACTTTCATTATGGACAAATGTTTTCCTCTATCATCTAAGTGTGACCTTGACCTTTGACCTACATACTTGCTTCTAGTGTGCAACCCTTCATTTCATTATGGTGAAAAATTGTGTCAACCCTCCCTGTATGTTAAGATATGTGCCAGATTAAATATAGACTGTTAACAACTATATATTCAGAACAGCTAAATTTCATATTTTTTCCTGACCTTTGACCTCTGTTAGGGATTGCAAATTCTGAATTTTACAAGCTACACACTGCCTCATAATGGTAAACATATTTTTGCAAATGGTATATTAAAATCTCGCAATGCTCGTTCATATTTTGGTCAGTCATACAAAAATTGAACAAGCACAATGGAATTTTTTAAAAACAAGCAACACATCAGGAATTTTTAATACACTTTATGTTCAACTAATAATGAAGAATGAACAGTTTTGTACTATGAAATAAACATTAATTCACTTAAAAACAGACTCACATATTTTGCGATATTTAGCACCCTTAACAAAAGTGGCTGCCATTTGGGGGGTCATTATTCATTATATTTGACAAAATATGAAAACAAACAAAAGTAACAGATGATTTAGGTGAACAGTTATATTCATTTACACATGTGAAGACAGAACAAATGTAACATGAAAGGCTTTTTATCACCCTGTGTTGGTGATAGGGTAACCCAGTATTAGATCACACAATGCTGATAATTATCAGAGCTTTCCATGGAATCATAAAGAAGCTTCACTGTGGTCAAAAAGTCTTAAACAATATTTGAAAACATTAGATAGATCAATTGGGGCAGTTTTGTAAAAATGAATAATGAAATATATACTCAATATCACTTATTTATTTCATCATTTATTTCACGGTAATGACATATTTTCATGTGACCAGTGTTAAAATTGGTCAGAATTGACATATTTTATTCATACACCTATACAACAAAGTTTTTGTGCAAAAATATTTAAAATCTCTAGATTTTTATGTAAAACAGAACAACATTTTACAAATTTCTGCAAAAAACAATAATAGTCCATTAAATGTGTGGGTATGTCTGAAACAATCATCGTTTTCTAAATGTTCTTGTTTGTTGAAAAAATAAATTTTAAGTTACACAGTAAGGATAATTTTAATTTTTAAAATCAACCAAAATAACATGTAGAAAATTTAACTGAAACATGAAAAAACTGAAATGTAACACCATTATTGCGATTTAAATGATGACATACTGTTTTCAAAATGGCCGACATATGGTCTAAGTTTGGTCTATTAAAATTGACTTTGACTAAATATATTGTTGTTTCTATGTGCCATTCAGCAGAAAATACCTATATATGACAGCTTATGACAATTTTTGTACCATAAGATTCATTTGTTGTTTTCTTTCTGGTTTCAAAGCATTAAGTACCATGAACTAAGAGGAGCACAGTATACTTAGAAGTCAATTCAGAATTAAATTTTTAGTGTGATTCCTCATCCATTTTGAGCTTGAAGTATTTCACCACTTCATTTTAAGGTCATTTGCCCAATAAAAATTATTTTTCTGGAAGAAAGAAGAATGTTGCAAATGATCAGAAATTTTGAACACACAAAAAAATTAAAATATACACTCACTAAGAAATATTCCAAAGCTGTCAAGACAATAAAAACTCAGAAGAGTCCCTTTAAGCCCCTTCAAAATGGCAGCAAGGGGAGATAAACCAGTAATAAGAGAAACATCAACAGACATAACCCAAAGAATGAAACAATTCTTTCTTTGTAGCATATTAATTATAATACCTGTATTCATTCAATTATTGTTCATAATAAGTTAGATTTTCATGTCATGAAAACAAAGATTTTTTTCTTTCAACCTCCTCAAGCAAATAAAGGATTTTAACAATAAAATCTTTTCTCAATTATATCTTACCAACATGTGATTCAAAATTAAATTAACAAATTTCACCTTTGCTTAACCTTTAATTACTTTGTTCTATTATAATTGACATGTAATGTCAAACCTATGTTAAAAAAACACACTTATGAATCACCCTTTTTCAACAACAGTTCTCAATAATTCAATTGGATTTACCCCCCCCCCCCCCCCCCAAATACAGACCACTTTGTCTATAACAACCATGCTTGGTTTCTCCCTTAGTTCACTTAGTCTTTTGTTAACACGTTTTACTGTAAATGTTATTCATGACCATAGTCCTAATACAAAAGAACAAAACATATATGGAACTTATCAATTCACAAAAACAGTTAACTACAACCCAATAATCTTATCAGGATCATTGATGACATCACCTCCATCAAAGCCTTTGTATTTTCGCTTATATTTAATACTAGACACTCTAGTTGGTCTGCCAGGGAAAGCTGTGATTCCGTCATAAATATTATCTGTATCTGGGTGAAATCTTATATATTCTGTGTTTATATGAAGATTTTTCGGCAAGTCTAATTTAGAAAGGTCCTCTAAAGCAGAAGTATCCTTTACTTCAACCTTGAAATACTTAAAAACATCTTGCACAGTATTCATGTCATTAAGATCAACACTAGCAATGTCATGATCCAAATCTTCCATCACACGAGTCAGCAACTGCAATAAAATAACAAATGTCTGACATAAGTAAGGTATTAATTATTCAAATAAATAAGAATTTGAAAACTGCTGATTTATTGAAATTGGTAGTCAGCAACTATAATAAAATCATAGAAACTTGACATAAGATTAGCTGATTTAAAAAAAAAATCAGAATTTGAAAACCATTATGTAATTTGTAGAAATAAACATGTCTGTGAACTTTGCACAAGCAAATTAAATGTTGGAGATGAATATCATCTTTTATTTTATTATTCTATTTACAGAGAATTACATCTTAAATATTGTATAAACTCTACTGAATTTGTATTTTCCTTTGCCAACAGTTAGTGAATGTCCAATTACTAACTATTCATGAGGTAATGATTTGATTTGCTTGTAAATTTTGTTGCAAATAAGGGATCAACTAGAATTATGTCCATTATACATTGATGCCCCTTCTTCATCTGCCTTTCCAGAGGCATATGCATACATACTTATGCATGTTTCATAAACTTAAAGGTCAAGTCATACCTATTATATTAATAGGTATCTATATAAATAGTATCATAACATAAATTTCAGAAACCTATGACTAAGGAATCTGTTTTTATAAGATTAGGATTTTACAAAAAAACTGCCACTGTAACCTTGACCTTATAACCTCAAAATCAGTAAGAGTCATCTACTGACCATTTCAACGTCCCTAACAAACCACAATAAACAGGGGCTTATTCCTTCTCTCAAGTTACTGAACAGGATGAACAGACATACAACATTATGCTTCTCACTATTTTAAGTTGGCAATCTGTTTTTCAATAAGCTAGGTGATATCTGTAACAATTTCAAGCATCAATCTCATTTGCCATGTTGCCATAAAAAAACAGCGCAGCATCAACAGATATTGGTATTGGCTATAACATACTTTATGATTATAAATGCACTTGTTATCTTACATCAAACTTTTGCGCTCGATTATTCAGTTGTAAATCCATATCTGCTTGGGAACCATACACCTCTTCCACAATGTAAGATATTCTCTCGACAGCATCGGCTGGTGGTTGATATGACCGGACTTCCTCTATACATCTGAAGTATAAATAATCACTCGGGAATGTGGAATTTTTTTTAGAAAGTCTGAAGTTACAGACAAATTCTGCAAACCTGACTGTTAAATATAAATTCTTAATCCAGAAAATAGTCAGCATACTTCTGTAAAATATGTTTTGATACCAGTTCATTGATAATTACACATAATATATAAGATGGCCAACAATAAAACATAAACTGATTATACATGCATTTGGTGTTCACTAAAATTTTTTGTCATTCAAGTTAAATGTCAGGATAAGGTATTAGGTGGAGAGTTTAGCAGTAATGACAAAATGCATGTTAAGACTCTTACTCCCTTTTCCTCACGGGTATAGCTGGAACAATATTTGTTTCGTCTGCACCATCCTCGATCACACTCTCTTCAGTTTCCTTCTCCGACCACCACTGCAAAGTCTTCAACTTGTCTACAAAGCCCATCTGCCTTGCATGTAACTATAAAAAAATGAATATATATCACAATAGTATCCTTGCCAACAATTCTGTCAAACAAAGTTTGTTTGTAGGTATGGTTTTACATGTGTTTAATTGCATTTTGTATACACAATGTTCCCTGGTTCTGAATGAGAACATATCTGTTTTAAGCTACTAATACCAACTTTTACACATAAATCATTCGAAAAATCAAAGCAAGACGACAGGTATCAGATATTTTTCTTAAACATATGCCAATCCTAGGACTTCCATGTACACCTGGTGTCACCGGCAATCTTAAAGTCAAGCTAAAAAATTGAATTGACTCCCTTTAATTATACCAGTATCAATTAGTTTTTAGTTTAAACATACAGTTACTATATTTATTTCTCAGAATATAAACATTGTATGCATCACCATGTTTCAATTTACAATATACACAAAACATTTCAAATACATGTATTCTTACAATACAGGATTAAAATGGCAGACTAAGAGTCTTATGATTTTTTTTATATTTTTTTTTTGCTTTACGAAATTGCAATGCTTATAAAATCAAATAACTAATCAACATATTACAAGAAAATGCCTAAACAGCAATTACAAATAATCAATGACATAATTAAAAAAAAACTTTATTAATATTCTGTTTTGTATGTGTACTTTCCAGCTCCTCAAAAAAAAAAGTTTTTTATAAACCTTCAGAATATTGAATTTGTATACACATTTTTAATACTGATTACTTGGAGCAGAGATGACTGTTTGGGACAATGCTAGTCATTTACAAATGTAAATTGACTCACTAATTTATTAAATTTTTATTAATCCATATGAAAAAGGCAAATGTCAGAAAAAGCCAGCAATATTTTGACAATAACTATGGTATGCTCAAATTTTGAATAGTAAGCTTTTGTTGAAACCCTTGCAAGAGTCTTGCACAGGCAAAGGTCAATTGTGAAAGAGTACCCCACCCACTTTTTAAACGTTATGACGTTTAATTTCATTAAGATTTTAGATGTAAGAAAGTTAAATTCAGCATAATGTCTATGAAAAACATTGAGCATTTTGTTTTTGAATAAAAACATGCAAGTTTACCAAATATGACTGTTGAGAACAAGTAAGCAGTCTGTAAAATCGGCGAATAGCATTTCGTGCTTCCATGGGCGCTGCCATCTTGGATTGTTATTCGGAATACTCTTACATTTTGGTGTAACCATGAAGAGGCTCCTACAAAAGATTTATCATTGTTCAAAAGTTTACGGGTTTACAGCTGCAGGGGGCAGTTGCTATTGTTGGCATTGTGATCTATGAAAGAAGCAGAAAACAATCCAGTATTTTCATCATGGACAACAACACGTGGACCCGAGCGTAAAATGGGATTACAATTGGGATAAGTAGGTTAAAAATTTCATCACTTTGTCACTCATGTACTAACATGTTTAACTTTCGTTTTAAACAAATATTGATGTATTATGAAAGCTACTCTTAAAAATTAGAATAAGTTATTTAATGAATTTGGCAATTTATTTTTCAACAGTTCAATCTGAGAGAGATCCACTAGAGATCCATGGAATCCACAGACGCTTGGGGGTCAGATCCTGCCCCCAAACGTGATACGCCCCCGTAAACCATCACGGATTTATATTGTAATATAAATCCGTGATACCATCAAGTCTCAATTTGAGACTTGATGGTATACGGTATTTTTTCATATATACGTAAAAATTGTTTGAAAACCATTTTTATCGTTGTAACAGATGTACAATTCGTGTTTAAATATTAAAATAGTTTTTGTAGAGTGTTTACAGGGGCGTATCACGTTGGGGAGGCAGGATCTGACCCCCAAGCGTCTGTGATGGAATCCGGGTCAGCTCGGCACTAAAACATACTCGGCCCCCGAGTCAGCTCGGCCCTATTCCAACTCGGCACGGGTCAACTCGGCCCACTTTTAAAAATGGGTAAAGGACATCAAAGGACTCCTATTGTCACGGGCTATTATTATCAATCAATGTGTATGTTAAAGATACCGATTAATTAGGTGATAATTATGATTGACTCATTCATTCAAATTTGATTAGTGACCACCTGCAATTAATTAGAAGCTTATGCTATTAAGTAAACACATTTTTGTTTCATATTTTTTTGAAAATTACTTTACAAACAAAATGCATCTAAGGAAACATATTAAGTAAACACATTTTTGTTTCATATTTTTTTGAAAATTACTTTACAAACAAAATGCATCTAAGGAAACACATTTTTATTATATCTACATTCACAGGCACAAGTATCGGACCTGGGAAGAAAAAATATGAAGTTATTTTATCAATCTGTTCATATTTTTTCTTCCCAGGTTCGATAATCGTGCCTGTGTCTATATTAATTTTATCGAATCTGCAAGACAAATAAATAACTTTTTTTTTCTAAATATACTTTATTTCAGCAGAGGTACAATGTATAATTATATAATAATAATAAGATATTTCTTATTATTCATTTACCTTAACAACATGCAAAGCAAAGTTAATACGTTTTAGGCCTATATATTTTTGTAAAGTGGGCCGAGTTGACCCGTGCTGAGTTGGTTTAGGGCCGAGTTGACTCTTTTCCAGATCCATGAGAGATTCATTCTCCAAATGTGTAAGCAGTCAGATAGCTTAGTTTGTAGAGCTGTTCTGATGTTTGTGAGTTTTAGTCAGAGGCGCAAAATTTTTCTCACCTTGTTTGTTAGCCCAAACTAAAATGTACCAAGGAAAGTTTTACAGTGATATATTCTTACTATCTATAATTCTAGAAGAGAACCGGAGAGCGTAATAAAACCTCCAAAAGAGTCGGCGACTGACGATGAAAAACTCCAGTACAAGGAGAAGCTTAAAAAGGTTCCCACGGCAACAAGACATATCATATTGATCAGACATGGACAGTATTATGACAGGGAAAGTTTAGATATCAACAGGAAATTAACAGATCTAGGTATGTTTTTCACTTTTGACTTGAACATTTGGCATTTGATATTCTGTCAAAATCTTTCAGACGAAAAAAGCTAATTTTGATATCAATATGCTTTTGCAAATTAGGGAATATTTGAGATAATTTGGAGAAACATCTGTGCCAAGGTTTTTGCTTTGCAAAATGAAATCTCAATGTTTTTTTTTTTTGTTAGAGTCCAACTCCCAAAAAGTATAAGAGAGGCAATAATGACTTGGGTGACCTGAATAACACACTGCATTAAACATGCTAAAATACATGATTAAGAAAAAGCCAAGTTATGGTATAATGCCATGTCCTTACAAAGGAAATATTATAGAAGAACTGCTTTTTATATAATTTAAAAAAAAAATAAAAAATTATTTACTTAATTGAACATCTGATGTATTATAGGCCGGGAACAAGCGCAACTTACTGGTGCAAGATTAGTCGACATGAATTACCCATGGTCCAAATTAATTTGTTCAACAATGACTCGTGCAAAAGAAACAGCTGACATAATTCATAAACAGCTTCCAGATCTTCCTAGAGAAGAGTGTGATTTATTAAGAGAAGGTGCTCCCATACCTCCTGAACCACCCTCGGGGAACTGGAGACCTGAGAAACAGGTAAATATCTTGCATATCAGACAGGATTATCTACCATTTACACCGGTGCTAGAAATAATGTCATTGCCGTGCGCCATTTATGAATGAATTGCATTCTTAGGATGACGTCATTTTACCGTTATGAATTAAGTTGTAAGTTCATATGCTACTATAAGAAAAAAGTGCGTCATGAGAATATCAGTTATACCGCCATAAACACTTACCCTTGAGCTAGATATTCCGGTCCTTACCGGCAGCCATTGTAAGATTCTTAAAATCTACATTGCCTTACCCTCATTGGTGTGGACCTCTGTCCCTGGTACATACACATGTGTTCTGAAATTTACCTATGTCAGATTAAATCTACGCCACTTGCAAGTTATCATGCTCTGTTTTTCAATGAAATGGTATGAACTGTAGAATATATATGAATTTTGGGAATACAGAATATATCACAAATTCCTCTTTGACAGCGAGAGAATTTCATAATAAATTTATACAATAAATACATTTACACTGGTAAAAATACTTATACTGTACTGTACTTGTATATATAAGTATATGCCAGAATTAAAATAAAGCCTGTAGTTCTATTGTTTACAGCAATAAAACATTTATACCAGTAGTATAGTCATGCCAGTGAAACATTATACCAGTATGAAATTTATACCAGTCATACATTAATACCAGTAGTATATTTATGCTAGTGAAACATTTATACCAGTAAGAAATTTATACCAGTCATACATTTATACCAGTAGTATATTTATGCTAGTGAAACATTTATACCAGTAAGAAATTTATACCAGTCATACATTTATACCAGTAGTATATTTATGCCAGTAAATCATTTGTACCAGCATCATTTTTATCCCAGTCGTACATTTATAACAACAGTAAATTTTTACCAGTAATACATTTAACCAGTAGTGAATTTGTACCAGTAGTGAATTTATTCCAGTAATACATTTATAGTTATACATACCAGTAGTATATTTATGCCAGTAAAACATTTATACCAGTAGTGAATTTATACCAGTAATACATTTACCTAGTAGTGAATTTATACCAGTAATACATTTATAGATACCAGTAGTATATTTATGCCAGTACAACATTTATACCAGTAGATAATTTTTACCAGTAATACATTTAACCAGTAGTGAATTTATACCAGTAGTGAATTTATACCAGTAATAAATCTATACATACCAGTAGTATATTTATGCCAGTAAAACATACCAGTGTTAATTTTATACCAGTAATACATTTATACCAGTAGTGAATTTATACCAGTAATATGTTCATACCACTAGTAATACATTTACACCTGTAATACACTTATGTCAGTAAAACATTTATACCAATAATACATTTTCACTGGTAACACAATTTAACTAGGAATGCATTTACACTGGTGATAAATTTATACCAGTTATACATTTACACTGATTACATGTATAATTCAATGGTATGACACATACAGAAACACTGTCAGAGTGAAATATTATGTGTTGTTTCAGCAGTTTTATAAAGATGGTGCTAGGATTGAGGCAGCGTTCAGGAAATATTTTCATCGAGCTGACCCAGAGCAGACCAATGACAGTTACGAGATCGTCGTGTGTCATGCAAATGTGATAAGATACTTTGTATGCAGGTAAAATACAATGTAGTCATTTTTATGGGTAGTTAAATGATGTCATATATGGTATTCAGTGTGCAGACAAATGCAGCCTAACTGCGTATCAAAGCCAGCTAAGCTTAATAATATAAAATACAACCAGGGCTATCAGGTTCGATCCTCGGGCAAGGCTAAATTTCATTGAGATAATTCATCTTGGACATTGAATCTGTTGGTCATTTTTCTATTTTAAAAGTATAGTTTTATTACAAATTTGTTTATTATCTCTTACTAAGAAGGTAAATAATTAAAGAAAAAAACACCTTTTACACTTAGTTTCAAAATTAATATTTCTAAACAATGGAGGAGCGAAGTTAATTGATATATTTTCATTATGTTTTCAGAGCGTTACAATTCCCTCCAGAAGGCTGGCTACGTATAAGTCTCAACCATGCAAGTATAACATGGCTGTATATACGACCCAATGGTAGAGTAGGCCTTCGTACCCTAGGAGAGGCAGGATTCATGCCTGTGAACAAAGTTTCTGTATTATGATCAAAGCTTACCTGTAGGGCTATATTTTTAAGGTAAGGTATGTTATATTTTTTGTGCCCCCACTTTATTGGCGGGCATTTAGATTTACCCTTGTTCGTCTGTCCCTCCTTCCGTCCATTCACTTTTGTGTCGCACGTAACTCAAAAAGTATTTGACCGAGAGTCATGAAACTTTACAGGAATGTTGATCAGCATGTGTAGTTGTGCACCTGGGTATTTTCGTCTGGATATTTTTAGTATTTTTAGAGTTATTGCCCTTGATTTAGTAAAATTTTGCAATTTTCAACTTGTGTCGCATGTAACTCAAAAAGTATTTGACCTAGAGTCATGAAACTTTACAGGAATGTTGATCAGCATAATAATAATCAACATCACTAAATTACAGGAATAATGATACACATCACTGTGAAGCTATGAACCTGGGACTTTGCATGTGGATTTTTTTCAGTTTTGTAAGAGTTGTTGCCCTTGACTTACAGTAGTATAAGTTTGCAATTTTCAATTTGTTCATGCATAGCTCAAAAAGTATTGTAGGCTTGAAAGTTTACAAGAATGTTGGTCAGCATGTGTACTTATGCACCTTGGGGTTTGCTTGTGGATTTATTCAGTATTTGTAAAGTTCTTGCCCTTTACTTAGTAAAAGATTTTTAGTTTTCAAAAAATATTTGACCTAGAGTCATAAGATTGACAGAACAGTGGCGCGGTGGGGGCACCCGTGTCCTATGGACACATTTCTAGTTTTTCATTGGGCTCTTTGTCTTTACACTAACCTTTCCTTCAAGTCTTTGGTCACGTTACTTTCTCTCATAGAATCTTTATGAATGTATGTTTTAGGATTTGGTGTCAACCATTGGTTGGAGTTTTCAAGTCAATTAGGGTTGATGTTATTGAGGCTAAAATAGACTTTTCCTACATAGTAATGACCATATTTTTAGCTTTTTTAAGTCGTCAGCAAGCATAAACTTAATGGTGTTACCAATATTCTAATTCTAATCATATTTTTGTTTGGTTGTGAAATAGAGAAAAACAGAATCTGCGACAAAATTAGGCTTGTTTAGACAGTAGTTTATTTGAAAGAATTTTAGAATTTTCAGCCTATGCTCATTTATAATTTTTTACATGTAACTACATGAACTAAGTGGTTATTTTAAGTTTAAATGTTTCCTGTAACAACTTGAAAGAGTACCTTTGTTATCATTTTAGAAAAAAGAGATAATCATTAAAAATTACACAATACTTTGCTTTATTTCAGGTTGTTTCAAGGGATGGACCATTTCACAGGGAAACTGTTGTTATCGAGTCAAGCTGTTGTAACTGCGTTGTTAATCTATGGGCTCTGACTTCTGAACTTTAAAAATTTAATATGGATCTCTATTTGTTAAAGTCATTGGGTAATGACTGGAAATGAAATTTTAAAAAATAAAGTTGGGTTTATATATATATTTTCTTCACAACATGATATGGTGGGATGTTAATCATAAAAAGTGTTGATTTGTAAAAATACAACTAAAACTTGCAAATATAGGTAGGAGGCAAAATTCTTAGCAGTGACAAAGTAAGAAAAATATGTTTTGGAAACTCATTTGATAAAAGTTATTTACATTGGTGAAATTTTTCATTAATTTGTTATGTATTTTCAAATGAACATTTTTTGTGAAAGATATATTGTGCTTTTCCCCTACAGGAAATGTTGGGTGTAAAATACGAGGGATGTGCAAATTTTGATTTTTCATTTTGTATATAAATAACACAAGACAGATAATTGTGAGCATGTAATAATTTGAAGCTAAAATATTTTGAATCTCTTTCTTGTTGCAATAGTGAAAGCATTTGGACTCGTACTGCATAAACTTCGTAAGTCGTTAATGTATATTTCATGGGACACCTTTAATCAAAATGTTTGATCATGTTTACAAGCAGCATGCCTCCAGATGAGTGAGAATATTTCAGTAAATTCAAACTTGAGAATAATGTACTAAGAGTTAGGAAAAGTAGAAAGGTTCAGGATTCGAGAAATAATTTACATGTTATTAGCAATTAATGGTTAATTTTTCAATATAAGTAACTATATTTCTTCTGCTTACTAATGCAGTAAGGGTAATTTTTGCCTATTTTAACCTTTTTAGCTCGACTATTCGATAAGAATAAGTAGAGCTATTGCAGTCACCCGAGCGTCGGCGTCCGCGTCGGCGTAACCACTTATGTTAAAGTTTTTGTAATAGTTCAAATATTTTCAAAGTCCATTGACATATGGCTTTGAAACTTTGCACACTTGTTCACCATCATGACCCCAACCTGTAAACAGGAGGAGGTAACTCTATCAAGCATTTTGACAGAATTATGCCCCTTTTTCGACTTAGAATTTACGTTAAAGTTTTTGTAATAGTTCAAATATTTTCAAAGTCCATTGACATATGGCTTTGAAACTTTGCACACTTGTTCACCATCATGACCCCAACCTGTAGACAGGAGGAGGTAACTCTATCAAGCATTTTGACAGAATTATGCCCCTTTTTCGACTTAGAATTTACGTTAAAGTTTTTGTAATAGTTCAAATATTTTCAAAGTCCATTGACATATGGCTTTGAAACTTTGCACACTTGTTCACCATCATGACCCCAACCTGTAGACAGGAGGAGGTAACTCTATCAAGCATTTTGACAGAATTATGCCCCTTTTTCGACTTAGAATTTATAAAAGTTTTTGTAATAGTTCAAATATTTTCAAAGTCCATTGACATATGGCTTTGAAACTTTGCACACTTGTTCAACATCATGACCCCAATCTGTAAACAGTAGGAGGTAACTCTATCAAGCATTTTGACAGAATTATGCCCCTTTTTCGACTTAGAATTTACATTAAAATTTTTGTAATAGTTCAAATATTTTCAAAGTCCATTGACATATGACTTTGAAACTTTGCACACTTGTTCACCATCATGACCCCAACCTGTAAACAGGAGGAGGTAACTGTATCAAGCATTTTTTTTACTATCAAGCACTAAGAATAGTCGAGCGTTGCTGTCCTACCGACAGCTCTTGTTGTAATTAATGTGGGTTGCTTTACAACATTATACTTTTTATTAAATTTTCATAATTTTCATGAAAATAAGCATTAATCTGGAGGCGTGCTGCTTAAAGGGAGATAATATTCTCATTTTATCATCATCAAGTAATGAAAGAAAATTGTTCAAAAAATTTATACATAATTATGATGATTTACTTAGGCATAATTATCTGTTGAAAACTGCACAACATTTTATCATTCATGCAAGAAAATGTATTTTATATATAAAAGACAATCTGTTATCATGGGAAATAAATATACATTTCGTAAGAAATATCGTCTTGTTATGTCTTGCATTATATTTCTAGTATTATCAATTGTTGGGTACCGCCTCTGTGGTCGAGGGGTTAGAGTCGATGACTTCTAATCCAGTTACCTCTCTGACGTGGGTTCGATCCCCGGGAGATGCTTTGGTAGTTTAGCAAGGAGGAAGGTAGTCTAGTACTGGTGTAACTCTCCAGGAACGAAAGTTAGGAAACTACCCGCCTATATGACTGAAATACTGTTGGGAAAAGGCGTAAAATGAAACAAACAAACAATCAATTGTTGCTTACTAAAATATTATCATAAGGCTGGGTAAGATGGATTTTCTATTGTATCTATATTCTAATTCATGAATAAAGCTGCATATTGATAGGGCAATGGCAGTTCCAGTCTAAACCTGACAGTTTGCTTTTAAATCCAAGAGTTTTTTTAGAAAGACCCTAAAATCAAAGAATTCATAAATTATATGTTGATATTTAAGATGACCAAGATTAATTCACATATTTGTCATTGTAAAGGGATGTCATTACTTTCACAGGAAGGGAGTGTCTGCAGCCAAGTGGTTATGATCATTGACTTCAATCTACCTGCCCCTTGCCACCGCAGGTTAAAATCCTGCTAGGGAATTTGGATTCTTTCAAATGAGGAAGTTATCCAGCTATCTCGTGCCTGAAATAATACAAGGAGAGGCACCTGAGGTCTTCCTCCACCACCAGTAAAGTTGGGAAGTTTAAAGATTTATATTTGTTCATGCTACAAGTCAGCTGTGCTTAAGTTTGTGAATTTACTTTTTACCATATACCCAATTGTTTCATTTGACTGTCGGATCTAATGGGTATCTATGGTTCTATCCAAAGTTCATCTAGTCACATAAAATATTTTCTATAGAATATAATAGAATGAACAAGGTCACCTTTACATTGCATACACAAACCAGACTACTGTTTTCAACCCTTTAATTAACAGTTCTTTAGTGTGAAACATAGGTCCTCTTTCAACTTCCCACTGAAAAACTATAAAATTGCTTTCTTATTGTAGAACAAATTCAGACTGTGTCCAGGTAGACAGTAAGCTAAGGAACTGTTTTTCCTACAACTTTGATTCAGAAATAATATCTAGAATGTCACAGTGTTTGACATTTATTTTTCTGCACAGACATAATTACAATGTTACATAAACACAATACTACAAAGTACAAAAACATACAAAGCTTTAAACAACATTGTTATTTTCAGTATTTTGGTATGCCGTCATTTGTTAACTCATGGAAAAAAATATTTTATTATTTTAAATTGCTTACTTGATTTTAGTATCAAAGTAAAATCTAGTAGTAAATTTAAAATTCTTCAAAAAAAACACCTTTTCTATGGAAATAATAATGAACATTTGAGTCGGGTATAACTTTCTTTCAATGACTTCGTATTTATTATGTACATCAGACCAGCTTCTGTACCAATGTATCAGAATACAATGCATGTTGAATGATAACAAGTTCATTTCATATTGTCACTAAAACATATTTGAACACATTGATAATGCAGTTCCTTCCAGCCAAGTAACTGTTCTCATAATATATATGCTTTTCACATAGCAATTATTACCTCCCCTGGCCGTCATTTTGAGGGTCTATATGCATAATGCCACACATAAGATAAAAATCTCTTGTTATTCATCTTTATGAAAACTGATGAAAAGCTTTCACATATTGGTGCTAAAATAATATTTTCCGTCATATGTAAAGAGGAATTTGACAATTTGACTAAATCAGCTTTTATATTGATTTTTTCATATTCTGCCAATTATATTATAGAGAATATTGATCTCCCAAAAATGGCTGCCACTTTTGGCAAGGGAGGTAAATATTGTAAAAATCAGGAACTATTTTTGCAACAACCAATAATGGTTCCCATATGAATAGGCTGGTTGATACTGTATTTTTTCCACATATCTAAGAACTGCTCCCTACAACAATGACTCCTCCCATCATGAAGTTCACCATGAAGGTGCTGTATTTGCTAATCTTCTCATTCGTCTGAAATAAAAAAATAACAGATTTATCAGTTTGCTTCTTCATTAACATTCAGTTACTCCTGTATGAAACATTTAAATTATAATACATCACATAGAAATGTGTTATAGGAAACTGATGTTCCTATATTCAACAAGAAATCCTGTAAAATCACTGCTGTGCATCATCATAGCAGTATACTTATTTTTGTTAAATCAAGGTCCATAACTCTCCTAATCTCCAATGAATTTGTGGAAAAATTACCAAGATGCGTAAAATTGTTATTCTTACAAGTGTCCTTAAGAGTTAAATGGCTTTAGCAGTGTGCATAGCACTGCTGATCTTTAAATACTTTCATATTCTTAGAAAGTTTTGTGACTCAAGCAGTGCTACGTTTGGAGTGCCAAGAGACACAAGAGCTGTCCATGGAGCAGCCCACTCCACTTCCACTAAATGGACGTGGCAGGCAGAATTCATCATGTTAATAGAACCATTGCCCTTCTCTAGCCAGCTAAATATAAAGTTTTAATGCTTATAACAAAAACTTAATCAAAAAGTTAACAAAGTTATTTGTAACCTTGACCTTCACATGTGTAGCTGGTGGAACTCGTAAAGTGTATCTACATACAAAGTTCGAAGTTCCTAAATCAATGCACTTTGATTTTTTGGCCAATTAAATAATTTGCAATTACAGATCCAAGTGACAATTACCATTAGACCTAAAATTGGATGAGGCAGGTAGAACTTTCCAAGGTACATATGCATACAAATTATAAAGTTCTTTGCTCAATGTACCATGCACTTTTATGCTTTATTATTTTAGGTCCCAGTGAACCTTGATATAGGTAAAGCAGGAAGAACTCATCAAGGAATTCTTGTATTGAGCTTCAACTTAAATGTTGATGATAATGACAATACGAGAAAAATTATCATAAAAAGATAAGCCAACACTGGGGGGGGGGGGGGGGGGGGGGGGGGGGGGGGGGGTGGGGAGGGGGGGGGGGGGGGGGGGGGGGGGGGGGGGCGGGGGGGATACAAATGCTAAAAGATATCATATATGAATGACAAAGGACATGAAAATTTTGACAAATGGCTATATGACAAAAAATATTAAGGCTTAATGTCAATGACAATATACTAAATGGTAAAAATGATGGAGCAGCTGTCAATAAAAAGACCAAATGCTTAACAGTATAAATTTTTGAGATCTACATGGTATAAAAGAAAGAGGATTTATGATGATATGGTTTATAACATAAAATGAACAAAAAATATTTATTTATAGATGACCAAAAAAAAAATAAAGTCCCTCCATGATGCAGCATACTTTACTTTTCTCAGTGCTGAATTGCAAACTGTACATATTTCCAAGGGTGATATTGATCACTTGACCCTAACCCCAAAATAGGCTTGGGCAGCAGAATTGGTCAAGATGCATCCATACATCAAGTTTTAAAGGGACTCCACTGAGGTATTTTGACATGATGGGACTGAAAATATTTTTTTCCAGATAAATGTACCATTTGATGTAGGTTTAGACCACTAATCTTTGTGCAAAATTTCAGATCATTCACGCACTTCGTTTTTCCAGAATAATTATTCAAATTGTAAAATAATGACCCAAAATGAAAAGCGTTTAAATGCTTTTCACTCAAATCGGTCTAAGAAAATCATTAAAATACGATTTTCAATTTATTTAATATTATATTTCTTAACTATCTTTGCATATATTTCTGTTAAAAGTGCCCCAGCTCATTTATGTCAGAAATTCAAATGTTATGTTTTAAGGCTTTTAAACCTCAGTGGAGTCCCTTTAAAGTCATTTGAGTTATTGACATAAAAATTTCATCAAAATAGATACAAAGGTAATTATGCTTTTTACCCAAAATGAGTAGGGCAGGCAGGACTTATTAAAGAACATTTACATACAAAGATTGAAATTCTTACATCAATGTTATTTGCTTTAATGGTCAATTATTTATCTTGAAATTGACAGGACAATAGGGTGTGGCAGGTAGAACTCATCTAGGCACATGTACATCCAAATATGTAAAGTTATTGACCATAACTGAAAAACTTAACAAAAAATGTTGATGAAAGCCTACAAGTAGGTCATGACAACTGCTGGAAAAGCAGAGAATTTGATGTCCTCTATTAAAGTGAAATCTGGGCCTCTCAAGTGGAAGTTTTGGAGTCAATTACTCCTTAACTTGGCTTTCGACGTCCAACATGTAATGTTTTTCCTTCTTTACCTATAATATATGATTTGCAATGTGAAAGATTTCGCAGTCTCTGACTTCCAAATTTTGGAACTTAATGGAAGCCCTGTGAAATGATTGGTTATTGCAGGGTAGATAACCAGTCGATTTTTTTTTACAATATGACACAGCAAAACGATGACACTGACCTGGTATTTCTGTCTTGATCTCGTATCTTCTTCTCCATTTCTTGATCTGTAAGAATCTCAAGGAAAGGGCACCAGTTGTCGGACTCATTCTGGTTTCTGATGGCCACTTCAACAAGAGGCAGGGGTGTTTCACTGCAATCAGTATGCAAACTAATTAGAGAAATAGAAGAAAAAACAATTGCCTTTGTTAATTAGAATATATCTATTTTATATATTTATTCATAATTTAAAAAAAAACTAAATGACCAATGCAAGGTTCTTGCAAAGAATTCATAATGTTTATTTACTTTTTATTTTTGTAATTTTCAAAGAGAAAATACAGAACAAATTTTGATCACATAAACAAATATTGCTCTGTTGCCTTTGACATTTTTAACTGCAAGAGCTCAAAAAAAGATTCTATTATTTGAGTTATATTTTTTTTCTTGCTTGCAAGCCTATCTGATCTTATCAATATGATGCTTCAAGATAATACATTATGTGACCCTAAGCACAGTCTCAGTGCATTAATGCTTGATGTGCTGTTATTTATAAAATGATTAACATTAAGGGAAAAGAATTGTGGTTTGATTGAAAAGATTGATCCAACTTTTTTTTTTTTTTTACTTTTCTTTGCATCTTAATCCATATCTAATACATTAAAGTGGACTTAACAATAAAGACATCATTGACAAGACTATTTTTCAACTAACCTAAATGCATATGTTTTCTGATGCCAGCTGATTTGTCCTCGGATACTGTAAGCTATGGCCGTCACAAACTCTCCACCTAAACCTAGAAAATAAACAAACAATAAAAATACCATTACTGATATGCTTAACATGATTTTCTATTTTCACTAGCAACACACTCTTTCTTATCTATAAGTCATAGTCACTCAGATCTTGCTGATTATGTCACAATAAAATAGTTTTTCAAATCTTTCGTTAAAGGGGGATAAACGCAGTGACAGGTGTCTTTGCTATTTGCTAATTTTCTCAAAAGTCAGTATTTATAATTTTTCTCCAACTTAATGTACAGACCACCTAACACCCATTTTTCCCCAGACAGAAGCTAGCAAGTGTGGCACCAACCTACATCTGTTAAATCAGTTGAACAGTTTCATCACATTAAATATTTCAAAATCATTGTAAACCACTGAAACATACCTAACTCTGCACAAAGTTTAGTAGCAAATTGTTCAGGACTGTTCTCTGGCTCTGATATGTCCCATTCAAACTGGTCCATCAGTGATATATTGCCAACATGAATATTCAACTGAAAAATGTATAGACAAAATATTTTATCTACATTATAATACATGAATATATCTCATGGAACAAGATTTTAATCTTGTATGAATTACATTGAATGTTCATCACTTTGTCAAGTATAAAACATGTCAAAAATGACAGTGTGAAATGTTTTGATAAGGGAGTACACTATGGCCAATACTGCATGAAAGGGACACAAATATATTCCAGCCCAGCTGATGAACATATCTTTTGGATGAGCTGGGGGTTTAACTTTCAAGGTTATGGATATATAGGTAATTTTCAGGTCAGTAAACCAGAGACGACTAGTTCGATCTTGTGGTGAGGGGAAATTTCTATGTTGGATATTGGCTATTGGGTCCAATAGTCATTTGTATCTCACTGCTAATTCAGAAATCACAAGGCTTTAGTAATCTGCAACATGTGCAGAAATTGGTACCGGTAATTACTGGTAAGTTATTCACAAAAAATGGTTAGGTGGATTGATGACAGAAATATGACTAAAGTCAATTAAAATAGGTGTATAAAAACAGATAAACTAATTGGATTTAGAGTTAAATCAATACAAACGCATTGCATTTTAACTACAGGAAGAATAACCCCACACACCTCTTTGAGCATTATTTGTATGACAGAATACTGTAGTCGACAAAGTATAGGTTAACCAGATAGCTTCCAGACATTAAAAAACTTTCTTTTCCCCAATCCTGCAGCAGGCCTGAGGAAGAAAACCATCACCAACCATAAAATAGACTATCATCATAAAATATGAAGTAGGCCTATTCCTAATTCTATCAGACATCCGTCATAATAAACTAAGAAAATGGTCTGATAGTTTACCTTTAAAATGACTCGTTGATCAAATGGCGTTTCTTCTACAGGCTCTGGCTGTTCATTTTGATACTGTTCTAGTTGTGACCTGATGACCTGTGCTATTGCTGGTACAAAGTTCACAGGATTTAGGTCAAGGTCATCGCATAAAATCTCTGCAAACATTTCTGGTGAGATCAAGGTTTCTGAAATAAAATGAAAGAAGTGAAATGAAACATTCATTTCCTTAAAGCTCTGGGTAGAAAATCACTTTCCCTGTGGTAGTAATACTACTCCAGTATCAAGGAATAAAAAATAAACAAGCTTGCGATTTCTATGAATCTTTCCTTTTCTTACTTTAAAATTACGGTAACTTAGGGTCTTACAATAATAAACTATTCTTGGAATTCGGTTGACAATATATAAAGGTCATTAAATTCATTCAGGTGAACAATTCATGAAAATCCAATGTTAATGGAATAACGGGTTTTAAACAGTGATTTATAATTGTGAAGACTAAAATGAATATATTTAGTGGCTATGGAAACAAAAACTTGCACACAAAACCTTCACCTGTAGTTTCGAACTTTTCCAAGTTCACTAAGGGGTAAAAGTCTGTAAAATTTCACATAAGAGTTATTGATCTTGGATAGTAACAAACAATTATGATTTTATAACATGTTAGAATTTTCAAAAGAATACTTTGACTACATATTGAGAAAGCCTTCATTTCTTAATGTAAGCATTACATCAACTTCATACTTCTTTATTAACCTACATTAATTATTTGTACCTCAGGTAATCTATAATGCAACAAACCATTTTTATTCCATGTAAAACAGTCTCGGAGTTTCTGTCCCTCGTACTCCATGTCCAGTCTGATAGGTACAAGGTTCTCAAGCTGGTTGGCATTCTCGTGATTCTGTGACGGATCTGAGTCATCGTAACTGAAAATATCATACAATATATTTTACAGCTGTAAAAGGATGAGAAAATGTGCAGCCCGACAGTTCTTGATCCCTGAACCACAAATTGCTATTATGTATTAGCATAAGAGCTACCTGACGACTTATGGTGACGCAATTTCCATACTTCAAAATTGCTCACTAATGTCAGATATCAAAGAAAAAATATGTCATAACTTGTATCTACATTAAATTTCCTGTAACCTCTATATTAACACTGTGCTATCAAGATTATCTGATTCAATGAAATACTTCAAAAGGAGTACTTTTTTTTCTTTTAATAAAATGCTAAATGCATAAATCTGATGGTAAAAACTAAAATTTGATCAGTAACTTGATAAACTAAACAACAAGACGACAAATAAAGGAATTATAAAGGATTATGGCTTCAGATTTGTATTCCTTTTTAAGAAAAATTCATAATTGTTCTAATGAGTAAAATTTTGTCAGTTGTTCAAGTTATTATGAAAAATTTATACACTTCTTGAACTATCAATAGACTTTTCTAGTGTTTTTATTAAGACTTATCTATCATACCTTAAGACATGCCACTTTAAAGTCTAAATAGTAACAATTTGTGAAGTTGTAATTCTTTTTTTTTTTTAATTTCTACTTCACAGGATCTCCAGTAAAACCATTTATTCAGAAAATCTCATTGAGATCATTTAAAATATTTATTTTTTCCTATTTGAAAGATAACTAAAGAATCAGATTCAAAATTAGTTAACACTCAAACTTACCATGTAGGGAAGGTTCTCACTTTGGGTTTACCCAATCTGTTTCTATTTATAGGTGTAGAACATGGTACTGCATCCAGATGATGTGAAGTGCTGGGAACCGTTGGTACCCATGTGGAACGCTTCTGCTTAGATTCACCTCTTTGTATAGTAACAAAATAAAGTGTTAGTACAAGAGAATAAAATCATGAAGGTGAAACATCTTGAACCAACTTAATTTAGATAGTCTCCTCACATCTTGATAAGGTGTGAAGGAAATTGTTTAAAATTAGCTTCCTGCTACACTGTGCTGCCAATACCATGGGATTTTAAATAACTTCAAAAATTCAAAGTTCCCATTCTTCCTGACCAGGAGGTTTCAGCAGGCAAAGTTTCAATTAACTGATGCTAAACAATATTATAATGATTGAATAAGTTAAATACAGAGTTGAAAGCAATATACATGTAGGAAAACAGTAATTCATACTAATTGTCTGTGTAATTAATTATGCTAACAAAACAGGCAAAAGCCCTCTTTTCAAAAAAAGGTAAAAAAAAAAAAAGTTTCTACCTGCAAGTATTTTTTG